ACCACAATAAAAGTTTGACAGCGTTGGAATCGATCGTCAAGAATTCCCATTCGACCAGGCCCCTGGACGCGTGTATTTTTACGGTACCACTAATGAGTAAACGTCCTACACCATAGACGGTATTTTAGGTACTTGTATATATATAAGACAGCCGAGTCGGTACAGTTTGTGTTAGGGTTTGGGACAGGGTGACTGTTTTGACCTGTGTGTGGTCTGCAGTGCATGCGTAGTGTAGTACGTTTACTCATTAGTTGTACCGTAAAAATACACGCGTCCGGGTGCCTGGTCGAATGGGAATTCTTGACGATCGATTCCCACGCTGTCAAACTTTTATTGTGGTGGAATTTAATCGGGGCGGAGGTAATTTAAACGGGGCGCAACGATTGAAACGGTGGGGGGAGTTTTCCCAAACGGGGCGGGCGCACCCGGTTTGCGCAACGTAGGGAGAAGCCTGCTGTTTAATAGACGCGTTTTACTTGAAGCTGTCGATACAAATAGTTATCTATAGTAGGGATACAAGTAGTGAAGCATAGTACAGGGTTTCTTCTGAGGGAAAATTAGACAAAGGAGGTAATGGCCAGTTTGGGAAAAAAATGCACATGATGGATTCAAATACAGGATGTATTGATATACTTATAGGTATATATAGATACAGCCAGGATATACTTATCAGTAAATACAGGAACATTTTCACAACGGCGATGTTAAATTTGACAACGGCGGTGCGCCACTGTGCCTCTTATGTATAAGAAACCCTGTAGTAGTAGGTACATCCTTATCCAATACTAACATCAAGGTTGTTATGTGAAAGTATTTGTACGGAGCTCGTCCTCCACCTCCCAAACGTAAGTCGCAGGAGGAGAAATTAGATGGCCAGCGTGGTCTATGATAAGACCAAAAGGATGCGTACATTCCAGCCAGCGTGGAAATCGTCATACCCGTGGCTAGAGTAGTAGAGTATGAACCGGCCAAGGGCAAGGGTATACCTATGGTGCAGGCTGTATGTCTGGTAGTGGTAGTATTTTCACCGGCACTACAAATTATCGTTTGGAAACTGTTAAAGCGCATGATGCTTCCGAGGGGCACAGAAAGATCATAGCAAAAAGAAATGCAAGGACCATGCCTGTTCACCAAACAGTGTCAGTGGGGGCAAAAACACTAATTTTAATGAACAAGGCCACAATAGCAAAACTAAATATCCTAATTAGAAATGCACATGCTATTGGAAAAAACGGCAGGCCCTATACCGATTATGTCAAGCTGTGCCAGCTTGACAACGCCAAGGGGTTACCGTTAGATGTCGGCAGCACCTACCTCACCGACAAGGCCTGCCAAAGGTTCATTACAGCGATAGCTGATGCAAGGCGCCGGGAACAGTTTGGAGCTATAAATGAGGCCAAATTCCTTGCTGTGATAAGTGACGGATCCACAGATTCCTCATCAAAGGAGGCGGAAATTTTATTTTCGAATTAAAATTAAATTAAATTTTAATTTTAATCTTATGATCTATATTAAAGTTACGTATATTTTATACAATTGAATGTCTTTTACAAAACCTTTCTGGGGTACACCCCTTGTACCCTGGGGGAGACCCCCTGTACCCCCTAGCAGAAGGGGGGCTCCACCCTCCTACCCCACCTACCTCCTGGCAAATCACAATGCCCGTCGCTCTGCGCCTAGTAAGAGTCCTTCGGCAGGACTAGTAGAATCTTGGAAGGACTAGTACATTTTTAGCTCACCTTGACATCATCTAGCTGAGCTAAATTGCCATGGGTCGTGGTCCGTCATACGTCCGTCAACAATTTGGCCAGTCGACGTACTTTCCCGCCACGGCAATTTTTTGGCAAAAATGGGAATTGATATTAGTCAGTTCAGGTTCAACGGATTTTGCTCATTTTTGGTATGTGACTGAATAAGAGCTAGGGGTTTTGATATTTAAAAATAAATTATGCAAATTAGGTAGGGTTTGGCAATTATATAGCATATTATATAGACACAAACAGTCTGTGGTGTCACACTCGTCTGGTTCGTTTTACAAGATTTCATTGACAATATCTTTAATGCAAAATTCCTGTTATGAACATATTATGATTTATACTATTATTATTATATTATTATTATTATTATGATATAATGATTTATGCTAAGAAACATCAAAGCTGGTATAGCGCCATCTACCGTCACAAATTGTGATTTATTTTGGTTTATAAATTATTTATAATTTATATATATATAATATTATTTATTATTTTCACATAAAAAAATTACACATAATTATCAAGTGTATATAATGGGAGTTCTCCCATATATACTCTTCGTTTCTATAATGTACGTCGATGGTTGCTCAGTTAAAACTGACTTCTTCTCACTCACTCATTGGGTCATTTTTTGTGGTGAGCTACAGTGTCATTGACACGTTTATTTCTTTTACTAGTCCTGTGGACTAATGAACTAAAATGGTTAGTATCTAGCCCTGACAAGTGGTGTTTGTTCTCTCGTTTTGAATATTTTGATGGACTCAATGACGCGCGCTTCTTGTGTTGCTGACTTGCTGTGCAGAATAAATTCACGAGCCGCTTAGCATGTCGTTTTTTTCATCTGATATTATTGTATCCCCTGCGGCGAAGTCTACTACTTGGTTTCATGGTATGGTTTCATGTCTGTCCAGCCGCCGCAGACACTTCCGCTCTATAACTCGACCCTTAATTGACCTAGCACGACCAAACTTAGTATACTTACACAGCTTGGGGAAAAGGTGTGTCGCGTACCAAAACCAGGTCAATGCGACCTGTATTTGACCTTGACCTTGACCTTGATCATATTTCTCTTCCGCTCTATAACTCGGCCCGTAATTGACCTAGCATGACCAAACTTGGTATACTTACATATCTTGGGGAGAAGGTGTGTCGCGTACCAAAACCAGGTCACTGCGACCTTTATTTGACCTTGACCTTGATTATATTTTCCTTCCGCTCTATAACTCGGGCCCCTAATCGACCTAGCGCGACCAAACTTGGTATACTTACACATCTTGGGGAAAAGGTGTGTCGCGTACTAAAACCAAGTCACTGCGACCTTTATTTGACTTTGATCATATTTCCCTTCTGCTCTATAACTTTGCTCCTAATTGACCTAGCGCGAGAAAACTTGGTATACTTACACATCTTGGGGAGAAGGTGTGTCGCGTACCAAAACCAGGTGACTGCGACCTTTTGACCTAAACCTTTAAATTGATCATATTTCCCTTCCGTTCTATAACTCGGCCTCTAATTCACCTAGCGCAACCTGACTTGGTATACTTAAGACTTGCACGTCTGAGACTTGCGCGTGAGAGAGTGTGCATTGGCACCTGTCTTTGACCTTTATTCTGAACTTGAAGATAAACTCTCCGACGTTTAGTTTAACCCTAATCAACATAGCGGATTTGTGCGAAAAAATGTTAAAATGCTCTGAGGCAGATGAGTTGTGTAACAAACCTTTGTCTTTGTGACTTATTTTACTTTACCTACCTTGTACGTCCTTACGGAGACATTTCATTCATACTAGATCGCAGGGGATACATGTAGTTGGCGACAACTGCCATTTCTAGTTTGTTTATATATATTGTTAACCATCATAATATGTATAAATTACTGTGATGTACAATAAATGTATATGAACTTGAATTTTGTGATCGATTCTCATCCAATCAGCAGCCTTGTGACATCAATTTACGAACTTCCTGTTATCCTTTTCTAACAGCTGTGATGTGTTTCTGTCAACGCTATTCTTGTAACATTAATATTAGCTGTAAGGGCTGTCTTAGCAATAACTTTACAATGTTTCTGACAACGGCTCCCTGATCAGACCGATTCGTCCCAAACAAACAGGTCCGCAGGGCCGTAGGCCGAACAAGTTCGTAGAAGGCGGTGGGGGTGGGATGCAATTTTTAAGAAGTAAATCACGTAGGATAGGGTTAGGCTAAACTGGTGATTGTGTTTATGGAGTTAAGGAGGATCATGTGCGGGTTTGTGCATGTGTGAGTGAGTGGACGTGTGCGTGAGTGTGTGCGTGCGTCCGTGTGTTTATGCTCTATAGAGTGCAATGGTTTCAGAGAATCTCTATGAATGTTTTGTTTTTATCATTGCAGATACTCTACTGCACATTAAACACTCACAAGATAGATATGTCAAGGTTGCTGGGTGGTCAAATCGGACTCGATGATTTTATATTTGTCCATCGAAAAGGCCAGGCGAAGGAAATTGAAATCACGAAAACCGACGAGGCATTAGGACTGACTATCACAGATAATGGAGCTGGGTATGCTTTTATCAAGCGCATCAAAGAAGGAAGCACAATGGATGCCATTACTCATGTTTGTGTTGGTGATCACATTGAGAAGATAAATGATAAGTCTCTGATTGGTGCACGTCATTTCGAAGTGGCAAGAATGTTAAAGGAAATACCGAAATTCTCAACGTTTACGTTACGACTCGTGGAACCACGCAAAGCTGGGTTTAGTAAGTATAAATAGTAGTGAAATTCTGGTAAATGCATATATTTATTAGATTCATTGATGGATTTCGTGGAAATGCAGCCTAAAATTATTATTTGTGTCACATTCATTCTAGATAGTTTTGCCAATTGTGCCATCTATTCAACATGTTTAGCTATAATATTAACCCGGTCAAACTTGAATATCATATATATATATCTAAACTGAGATTATCTAAATACAGCTCAATGTGCATAGTCATATATTTGTATCTAGATAGTTATTCTTTTTTTTAGTTCTGACACAATGGGACAGATGCATTGCTAAATTAGTCTTATACCCAGTTAAATGATGTTCAAGATTACATCTTTGTAGTGTTTTAGAAATTAGTGAAACTTGTACCTTTTGCTTTGTTTTACCTATTAACTGAAGGCATAATTACATATATTAAGTTTGGTATGTTATGATATTCATACAATTATCTGAAACCTTATAAATGGTACTGCTACCGAAATGAACATAAGTTGGATTATTATGATTATATCAGGAGTGAATAATAATAGATTATTATATTATTTAGATAATTATAAATTAATTTGATAATTTAAATTATTTAATTATTTAGATAATTAGATTATTTATATACATATAGATTATTAATCTATTATTATTCACTCCTGATTATATCATGCAGCACAGTAATTATACTGATATTTCCCTGACGAGTATATATGTATAAAATACTTCACATTATCATTTATACCTATATGACGGACAAACTGTAACGTACTAACCGTAACGTTACTAACCAGGTTTTTTTTGTGTTGCTTAAAAATAAATAGACTACTCATTAAATATTCTATGCTAAAACACAAGTCAGCTTTTCTATGTCCATTCTCCGTAACATTACTAACCAGAATTAAAGTTCCCACCTGAACTCAAAGGAAAGCCTAAATGGTTTTTATTTCACGTAATATGTAGAATGTCTAGACTAGAAGTATTGTAACTATTGTTGGTATTATTACTGAGATTGAACACACATGTATACATTTTCATTTTACTGGCCAGAAGGATCTATAACCTTAAAAATGTAACGTTACTAACCGTGGAATTGCCCATTATAGATATATATTTATATTGTTCGAGTATGTCAAAAAAATGTCTCAGAATGAGCACTTAATAATGTTGCTAGATGGGTCAACGTATTTTATATTTCTGCATTCCGATATATGAAATGCTGTAGGAATGATGTCACGTGATTACTCGCGTGTGACATCACATTAGTGTTGTCAGGCCACGGCAGCTAGGCGATCTCGTGTGTCACGCGTGCGGTTGAAAACGTCATGTCATTGTCAATACAACAGGTAGTGTGTTCACTAATGATGGCTCTATTTTCTCTTAACGGATAAGGTAGGATATCTTCGTGAAAATGCAGGGAAGCAAACCTTCTTGATTTCGCTGATTTTTAAAACAAGAAAACAAATTTTACCGCGTTGTCCTAACGATATGGCTGCCATCCGTCTCCCTTGAAAATTTCCTGCTTGAAAGTTGAAGTGATTCGTGTGAGATCACATGAAAGCACAACAACCCCCCCCCCCCCCGAATGAACCCTGCACACCTTTATATGCCACCACGCTGTATTTATACAGCATACAGTGTGCTTGTTTAAAACATGAAAAGTGAGTGTGATATCATAGCTTATCAATATAAGCTTATCGTGAAATATTCAGCTATATCAATTTGAACTGCTTGCAAAGGTAAATAAGAGCGGTGAGGCCATAATAAAAATATTGTTTGTTTGCCCTCACCTGACCGACCCGCCAAAATGGGGTCGACTCAAAATTTGTTATTGATCCTTTCCATTTCTTTTTTAGCTCATCTGACATAGTCAGATGCAGCTTGTAGAATCGCATGATCGTCCGTCCGTCCGTCCGTCTGTCAACAGTTGGGCACAAATCTTAACCGCTCGACGTACGGTCACGATATTCGGCACATTGGGGGGGGATCGTCAAAACGAGTTGGGATGTCGAAGCTGGGGGTCAAAGGTCAAAGGTCAAGAGGTGTAAAAGAAGGTGGAACATTCACTCCTTAACTTAAGGTATAGGGAGGAAATGCAGAATTGCGGCACAAATCTAAACGGCTCGACCTAGGCTCGTGATAGTTGGTGTATAGCATCATGGTAGGAAATGCCATCACTGTGCCGAAATTGGAGGTCACAGGTCAAAGGTCAATGGGCACAGGGCAGATTTTAGACATTTTATGAGGACATGGTCTGACGGAGCGATTGAAAAACTTTTTTGTTTCAGCGGGACTAGCATTTTTATGGCATTATTGAAAGGACCATGAAATCTACTTTCTGCTGACATGCGAAGAGTAAGTGTCAGATAAACCTTTTGACCCTCAAGAGGAGGGTTAAACATGGATTGTTGACTGTCTGTTAAAAAGAATTTGACTGCCGGGTTTGCTAGTAGAATCTTATACATCCTGGATGTATGAGGCTACAATGTCACAGTGAAATTTCAAAACGCTAAATTTGGTTAAAGAAGGTTTAATGTTCCTTAAATCGTATAATTTCTATGGCATTCTGTACTGTCAGTATGTTACATGTAACGTATGCCACTGCCAGTGGCTACTGCCAGTGCATGTGTTGGTGATAGTACTGTGTAGTTTTTGCCTGCGTTAATGGTTACAGGTGGCAGCTCTATATTGCAATTTGCAGCCTGTAGGCTTGCGTAGGTAAATGGATGAGTGCTTACCTATTCTGTCTTGCAAATAGTTGTTGCTACTACGTACGATGAGAGCTTCCATCTTTAATCTGAAGACACTTAAACTTACGGCGCCATCTCGTGGCAACTTTCATAACGATCCCAACGAACATTCCTTTGAGAAGGTTCCTGATACCATCCCTGTGCATTCCACTGTTTAGGCGTGTATGTGAACACATTTGGACTAACAGGGTTTACTAAGAATCCCACCACTCCACCACAGAGTCACCGCAGTAGACGTTAGATGAGCGCTGTCGCTCCGCGGCACTTGTTTTACAAATTGTATCACTACGTTATATAAATCTGTAGGCAATACATTATATGTACCAAGCAAAACAAACATTCAACATAAAAGGTATCTCCACACAAGCACACCCGAGCATGTAGACACTAGACACCATGCTGAATTTGTAAAAAGACCCCCCTCAAAAAGAAGAAGAAGAAGCCTACTTACCCAAACTTTTCAGCCTGGGTCGGGTGAGGGCAAACAAAGATTTTTTTAATTGTGGCCTGATATACTACATAGGACGAAGACAACAGCGGTGAACTGAAGATGTATCACACTGAAGATCATCTATTAAACATGGAATGGTTAGGCCTAAAAAAATAAATGATGTGTTTCCGAGAACGGTCTTTAAAAAATTAGGTAGGGTAGGTAGGGATTTTTTATTTTTTTTAAATGGAAAAATCCGAAAATGTCAAGTGTTCAGAGGTGAGGTAAGTACCATATTCTAGGAGTTTATGATTTATTTTTTGATTGATAATTTATTTTTGAGAATTGATAATTTATTTTTATTTTTTATTTTTTTGATAAAATTTTTTTTTCGAAAATTGAGAAAAAAAATGGTCGGCCCCTATTTGCTAGGTAGGGTCAAGTTCTCGGAAACACATCATTTTTTTAGGCCTTAGTGGGAAAGGGACTATACATTTTTTGAATGCAGACTGCTTTTACTAACCCCCTAAACAGACTGCAAATTTGATCCTATATCAAATATCCTATATCCTATATCCGATATCCTATATCAATTTTTGCAATATGTACATGCTATCCTGGGCTAAATACCCCCTAGTCCAGACTAAGTTATCCCTGCAAATAGCGGTGGGCCAGGCCCGCTTTGAAGCGTCGTAAGTTAGCCCGGACTAAGTTAGACCACGCTAAACTGTGTGTGTATGCAATCCGGGGACTGGCACTAGCTAAATTTTGCAATACACATGTGCATAGCCTTATTTGGGTCAGATAAAAGTACTTAGCTGTCTACTGAGTGATGTAACAAGCTAAACTGAGCATGCGCAGTCAACCAGTGCTAACTTAGCCCGGTTCAACATTTTGTGGCTGTACGCTGCGATTTAGCGCGCGCCCGGCGCGGGCCTGGTCGGTAGACTGAAACGTGTGATGTTCGCTCTGTTGCTGAATGTTTCTGGCACCTGACTTGTTGATATATATTATATATATATGCTCTTTATACGACTCTCGGCTAATCATCCCCTGGAGGCATTATTATATCGCTGTAGCAGCATTATTGTATTATATGTATTGTATATAACTGCTAAACTATCGTAAAATATGGATGGCAAGCAGATTGAAATTTGAATTTACAGAATGACAGATTACAAACCATGCATTGCTTTGCCGCCCATCCCCCAGGCAAAATGAGTTTGCTATGTCCCTGGAAATGTCTTGTACTTTTGGATTTTAAATGGTTTTATCATGAAATTCTTTGTTATATCTTATGTTAAATAGTAGGTGGGTAGAACTATATTCACACGTTTATGACTACTATCTTGTTCAAGTCACAACGTCACATGACATAAAATCGTCAATGGAAAATGCCACTCTGCAAACCCCTACGATGAGACCCCGCTCAGCTCCAGCACCATTTCATGTATCATGCATTGACAATTACAGCTGAAATTGGCCCCAGATCAAATCCTGGAAAGTCTAAGAGTGGAAAGCTTGGCACAGGAAAGGAGACGCTGCGTCTGCGCAGTAATGGCCCAGCAAAAGTAGAACAGGCAGTGAGTATTGCAGCCGTGTGTCTTATCATGCATGATATGTAATGAAGCACGTGGTTAGATAGATATTGAAATGCGGCCATGGGAATGTGTGTAGGTATATGCCACGTGCATTACAGCCTATAAATAGGTAAAATTAAGAATAACCGTTATGATTTCAAAATGTTTAGTGCCAAATGTGTTTAATTGTCTAGTCTTGTGACTATTGCATTTTGTCAATATAGTTTGGCAATATTATTTTAGATCAGCAATGAGCCTGAATCCACGATGAGGGCGTTGTGTTGTTCACGAGATTTTAAATCTTTCAGCAGTAAGCCTAAGTGCAACATATATGCACCAAGCATGTAACCCTGAAACCTTCTGTAAAGTTTAATCCTTGCAGAAACATTAGCACTTCTGGCTATGTCTGGCCGGTTGTCATTGTACATGTGCAGCCTAAAATACATGTACGTACAGTTGTTCTCTGTGGATTAGCTAATGTTCCTTTGTGATAAAAAAGTAATTCATGTTTCTTTTCCCTCTTCAGCCTGATGAACTGGTTGTCATGGCAATTGAGAAGATAAACAGCCTACTAGAGTCATTCATGGGCATCAACGACATTGAATTAGGTATTTAGTGGACCTGACTATTGGGGCAACCTTGGACTATTCCAGTAGCTTTAGTAAAATAGAAAACTGAGTTGATTACTTGATACATGCACAGATAATTAGTTAGTTTGACTGAGGGCCAAATATCAGAATTTTTCTACAATTTTATTTATTATTCTGTATTTTAGCACAAACCATCTGGGAGCTTGGGATAAACAAGGAGAACACCCATGACTTTGCCTTCGCTGTTGACGAAAGTGACCTTGCAGCATTCGGCTTCACAGATGACTTCATTTTTGATCTGTGGGGTGTGATAGGTAAGTGTGGAAAACGAGTAGATGGATAAGTATGTGCATATATAAATAGATAAGTACAGGCATAGGTATCTGATGCATCTCATGTAAATGATTATTAGCTAAACTGTGTTCAACTAAGTTTAGCATTTGGAATTTAACTGTGCAATGGTAGCTTTTTACTTCCTCATGGGTATGGGGACCACACTAACAAATGCATTTCCGTCATTCTTTAATGCCAAAAAATTCATGTTTTTAACACCTGATACACTATGCATGCCAGTGCAAAGTACATTCCGTGATCATTCAGTAGTCCTTAAAATGGTAGGTCACCACTGGAAAAATTCCACTCAGTCTGTCAGACCCTGTTTTAAAAAAGGTTACAGATCTGTTGTTTGGCCCACCATGACTCTGTACCAAATATCTAGAGCATAGTTTAAAGCATTTACATTTATTCTGCAATTTTCTGCTTCCTCAATGCTGGTCCTATTCGTTAGGCTAGGAAGGTGTATTTTCCCTCTCTTTTCACCTCTTGACTGTCGAACCTTGGCACCACATTTGACCTCCCGGTCTTTTGAGTTATCCCCCTACGTTCCGAATATCAACGTCAAGCCAAGCATCATCATATAATATAAGTCATATCATACGTCAAGCCATTCAGATTTGTGGCTCAAGTTGACGCTTTACAGTGAGAAGGTAGGGTGAAGAGATGGAATGCAATTGTATGTGGCATCGCATTAGCATGTTCTAAGTGATGTCTCAGGTCAGCTAAAAATCGGCCACTTCACGTTTCTTTGTCTGACAATGAATGTGTTGTGGCTACGTGTAATGATTGTTTGTAGCCTATGTATGGTGTATAAGTGTTATATTGAAGAGTCATCTTTTGGTGTTTGTGGCATGTACGTGCCTCTCGCCTGAACTATCATGTATCATTCATTTTGTTCTGTATCTTGTGACCATGTTAATAGGATTCCCTTCAGCTGCGGCCGGCTGGCCAGCATGTGAGAAACAGAAAATTTTACGGAACCTTTTCTAGGGCCTTCCTTATTCCACGAGCAGTGCGATCCTAAATGGGACTGCTTATTGTCTTCATGATTGCTGCAAAATTCCAGTGCTGCTTCATTCTTTGTGGCAATGTTATCCTAAACCTCCACTTGATGGTTTGCCATTTGTCAATCGCCATTTGACTTGTTACATGTTACCATTGCAACAACAACCATATCTGGCACAAACTATAGTAAAGAAAATGCCCTGGGCAGTAAAAATGGTGCTACATATGGGAAAGAAACTGTTGCACTTGTGGCCAAAATTTGTCGTTATATTGTGGTTAGTCTGATTATGTATACATGATTGAGAAAAATTGTTTCCATATTTGCATGAATTTATCAGAGCGCATATGCTTTATTAAATATAATGAATTTCCATTCATTCTTCAATTTCAGGTGATGTAAAATCAGGACGCTTAATTCCAGACCAAGGAGGTTCAGCGAATTTCTAACTATACATTGGCCCAGGTGCTAATGACTGCTACTGGTGAAAAATCAGCAAAAATATATTTTTTAAATCAATTGGGGTGGGGGTTGTGATTGTAAGCATTCTATAACTAATCAAATTAATTGACATGTTATTTTAGCAGGATGCAATTTGCAATATTTTTCAGGTGTTAACATAAGTAAAAACGTGCTGCAAAGTGGTCATGGCTATTTTCTTATACAGGTAGGTACAGTAATGACCTTTTCAAAGTTACCTAAAAAATTGTAAATAACAAGAAAGTCGCAACTCGATAACACATCGCAGCAATGCCTTTGAGTCCAAACACGCAATATGCGCTTCTTTTGTTTTTCGTGGTTCATTGTGGGTGGAATGATAGCATTTAATTGCATTATAATTTGGTCTTGTTTTACGACTTCATTTTACAACCCTGTTTTACTGGAACCTAACCCTGTCGCGAAATGGAACCTGCCTGTATTTCACTTGGAGGCGTTTATTAGGCAAAGACGTACCTCATTTCGGTGTGTGTACCACTTTTTCACATTAATTAAATGACAGCACGATCAAGCATTCTGAATTTTTTAAAGTTAATTTGTGGTTGATTTCTGTTGCATACTAGTTGTTCCTGTTTGATATCATAAGTAATTAATGTGTTTTTTCAAATCTAGGTTATTCATTGTAAATAACAACATTTCTAATAATTTTTCATGCAAACGATGTATGCCTATGTTGTGCTTTGACTGTTTGTGGAGGCAAATTTTAGACCAAGAAGTTGTAATAGTTAAGATATATTATATCTGGCTGCTTAAACTTAAATTTAAATCATGATCATTGCAATTTTTTATTATTTAAATGACTACTATATTCCTAAAAAGTCTTAGATTCCTATTTGTTAATTGTAATTATAATGCTAATTGTTGGTTTAACAACACCACACAAGCTAAAATATTCGTTAATTAGGCCAAAACAATTTTAATTTTTTAATATTTTTTTTTACTTTAAAGAAAATTGACAATAAAATGTTTAGGGTCGCTGGGAATAAATAGGGTCGGTCGGGAAACGGTAACCACACCTATATTTTGTTTTGGCCTTACCAAACTTATCCAGCTCGGCTGATGTTATTGGGGCTGGTTATTTCATTAGTCTGTCAGAAAACTAAGGTTGTGACTGCATGCAATTATTTATCGAGTTTTCGACATCGATCACCATTTCCTCTATTCTATGGCAGCACACTTCCAATAGACATCGTTGTTTTAATGTTACATGACCAGTTAGTGCAAGCTCATTGATCACCTTGGCAGTACCATCTTAACCTTTCTTTGTGTCCCCCCTCACGATTGATTTTTTTATGTACCAAAACAGTTGTTGTGAATAGCCAATATGTTTAAGTTCGACGGAAGTTGTTGAAAAATGACACTTTGTATTTTGCTGCTACATATAAACATTTTAGAATAAATACATGATTTTATTGTGTTAAAATTAAGGTGCAGTGTGTGTGTTAGGTTTCAATACTAGTTTGTCATTGGTTTTGGCAATGGTGGCATTTCGGTAGTTTCAAGCGGTGCTGCGGGATGTCAGCAGTGTGTAGAATGAATTTGCAAGATCGTAGGTTGCCGAATCTGTGCACCAATGTACAACATGGTTTCGATGACACAATGGTGAATGGCGCAATGGCACTGGTTTAATTTTTCTGTGGGAGTCTGCCCTTCAATTAGTATGTATAAAGCTTATATTCTTACTCTTTTTACCGAAATTCAAAACCCAAAAGTAAACGTGTAGAAGGTTGGTTAATGCACTGTGTCATGTAAGCATGTGCTTCGGTTACGTTCCATGTCACTGCTATGATGTCTTGACCAGTGTTCTAAAAAGATATTTAAAAATTCACTTGCGGGTGCCACGTTTACAGTAAAAGCCAGCCTCTCAGCAAATTAGAGATAGCATATTTAGGTGGGAGAATTTTGTTCTTAGTAAGCATCCGCCCATCACTAAATTCATCCCATGTACAAACCTACAAGCCTGTCTAACAGTTGCAGTCAAGAATTGCTGCTTCAGCCTTATTATCTAGTTAGACTGGTAGTGCTCACTTGTCAGATGTTGTAGGCATCGTCGACCAAAACTATATATGTCCTAGACTGGCTCCTAGTGACAATTTTCCAATATTTTGAAATGCCACATTAAACGTAATAGTGGCATTCACATGTATGTGTGTGCGTGCGTGCGTGCGTCCGTGCGTGCGCGTGCGTGTGGATTCTGTTGGTCTCTTGCTTTTTACTGTTGATATTAATGAGGTTTATACGGTTCTATATAGGGTAGGAATATGTAGACATAGAGTAAGACCTGTTGTTGCGTACGCGTATTGTGCGTTTGTGCAGTACAAGTTTATGAATTGTGTTGGTATATGACATTTCTAGGTTGATTTCGATTCATAAAATCCGTCTATAATGTCTAGAATGATGTCGAAGACTATATGGCATACGTGTGAGCTTTAGGTGTTTGCAAATTGATTGCAGCGATTTGAGTTTCGTATGAAGGGTGGGTTGTGAGAAACAAATTCATATGAGTGTACATCTTTCACATTCCACTTATGATGATGTATTTCAGTGCCTTTGTTGTTATGCACTGTAAGAATGTCAGTGTCGTGTAAATGTAAATATCTCTGTTGTGACCGTCTTTAACTGTCAATTATTTTGTTTCCATATCAGACCACATAGTAACATTCCATGTAATATGTTGCGAATATGTATATGTCGAAATTATATCGTAAAATTTATACGAGTGTCTAGTGACAGAACCCCACTTAAGATTTGGTGGTCATGATAATGAATAGCACTTGTATAAGTGTTTTTGTGGTGTGAGTTGTGGCTGAATACAGTTTATGTTATGAACATTTCTAGTAATTGTAAATATCTCGGTTGCGTATGGCTTGGCTGACCTTGTACAATGGCCTACAGAGAATACAGAAAAGGAGAGGAAAATGAAAATGAAGGGCAGCTTATCTTAACGTCAGCAAACAGTTTGAAGTTTAGAGCAGGTGCATGGTCTAACAGCTGAGCAGATGCGGTTTTTATGTCTAACTATTTGACAAAGGATGGGTTTAACAGGATATATATACAATGAAGTTTTGCAGCTGCATAGATATATTGTTTTGTTTGTATATGTCTACCCACGTGATAGGCAGATCTAAGAATTGTGTGAGGGCAAGTCCGTCCAAAGTGTGTGTGTGTTACCCCTTTTAATCTATATTCGTATTAATTCGTGACTATTTCAACTGGGGAAAGTGTTTGCCACACTTGAGAACATTGACATATAGTCACGAAAGGTGGATGGCTTCTTGACCCTTGGATCTGCGGATGCAACCACCACAGCTGATGTCATATTACCATATCTGCTACATGAAGTCTTGTTAATCTCCAGATATATTTTGATGTAACGTTTTGGTAATTACATAACATTTATTAGTGTTACGAGATTGTCCGATGTAATATACCTCATCATGAGACTGGAACAACTAGTGTCCATAGTGATTAAATAAACCTGTGCATTATGCTATTATGTAGGTGAGTGTTGTTGTGATTCTGTGCGTGTTAGTAACCCTTACTAGCCTATTTGTGATGATTTTGGGTTTTGACACTACATAGTTTATTTTACAGCAATGGCCGATTTTTCATGGTAATGCATAGGATAAACTTGCTGACCTAATAATATGAAATTGTATGTTATATATAGTTACTGCTAAGCACTGTTTTCAACCTTTATCTTATATTCACCATAATCTGGTCATATAAATAAGATAAGCTCCTCTACAACACATGAGAACACCGCACGCACGCCGCTGTGCACAAACAACAAGAATAAAGAGTATTTCACGACAAGAACAAACATAACAACAACAAACAAACAGCTCTTTATTAATGTTGTTTGTGCACAGCGGCGTGCGTGCTGTGTACTCGTGTTGCAGAGGAGCATAGGAACGGCATTTACAGGAAGTTATCGGGAATAATAGGCGAAGGGAAGTAAAGCAACACGACTGGTAGTAAATACATTTCGTGTTTATTTACCATGACTTTTTTATTTAGACATCTCTTTTGTGGTGTCTCACAGCCACGTGCTAAGTCAATGAGTTTGCATTCCTGGCAGGTGGTGGGGAATCCGCATTTGTGTAATTCCATTTAACACGTGCAGTTGTTTTAGTTTAAATGCACCGCTTTCTCCCCTGCCATATACGCATATTTGTGTCTCAAAGAGAAGTACCCTTCGAATTTCAAATGGCTGGAAATATGGTTTCTGACCATTTTATGTGACCATTTTATTTCGTTTCTCTGTCATCTAACTACAGATAGTGTGATTTAATATATGTTGTGCTGCTAAAATAAATATTTATAAAATATTGGTGCTGTTACTGTTTAAATCGGTCATATATTCCAATAATTACAGAAATTTCAGATCGAATCGTATGAATTACACTTTCATACTATCTTGGCCGTATTATATATCCAACTTCGATGTTATAATTCATTATTATAT